ATATATACATCTTTAGCATTAGATATCTGAGACTATCTTGAAAAATTGCAAATTGCATTAAGGGCTTTAAAAGCAGATACAGTTTTACACAACTTTTGTGAACAGGCAGTCCATATTGTTCCTTAAATCCTTTGTGAGACTACTTTCGCTGCTCTGCGGGTCCTTATTGGTGTCCAAAGCGCTAGAGTCTACTATTGTAAAGAATGGTATTCGTATAAACGCTGCCGGACATTCACAATCATCTTAGATGCTTTCCTATCTCTCTCGACTTAGGTAGCCCTTGTTGTTAGTACATGAAAACGATGTTTACATTTCTTCCATGGCTGCTGCTATCACAGGATAGATTAAGATTTGACCAAGTTTCGTTGAAGTTGTCTTGTCCTACTGAGAGTGTGCTCCTTCAGCTCCCATGTCAGTCTTCCAGCTAGTAATTTCTTTAGCGCTTTTTGAGAAATGTTCAGAAAACATAAGAAATAAAGCGTTTTAATTGACGTTTGACCCTGTGATTCTTCATATTTTAACTTGTATCGAGTTTCCTTTCTTCTATGCATTTTAGAACTTGTTCTTTATAGCTGGTTTTTTACCTACATTTGCAAAGAACTAGGAGGTTCCTTTTGTAGAGTTTATGGCTATAGGGAAGAATAATCTTTGCATCTAACTGACACTTTCTTGCATGAAAGGTTTTTAATCGCTTGGCAAAATTTTTTGTTCTCTATTAGAAATTTCAACAGTACCCGTGTCTCTTTGTATCTCGGGCTTTCTTATTTCAGCTCTTATTCCTGCATCTTATACGCGCCCAAATCTCATCATGGTAATGCCCTTTCGTTCAGCTCGAAGAAGGTTGGTCAATGTCTTGGCTACTTTTCTTTATTTCTTTATCAGCCCCTGTTTTTAAGGGTACCAAGTCCCATATTATCCGACTTCTAGACGGCAGGTTTTTCGATTATTATCGATTGCCGAAATCTATTCCAATAACCTGCATGTGCTACTGGGTATAATACCTCTGTTTTTCCTTCCTTCGGTTGTCCGATGGTAGGACAAGTTGAACGCTCGTATTGTACTCAGTACTTGCCATCGTGTTGACTGCTTGATCAGTCTTCTTTATAGAAAGTAATCGTTCTGTCGAGGTCTCGAATGATAGTGTTGACCAAATTACTGTTACCCTGAACTTAAGTGTTTTCCACAGCCTTCTACATGATTCATTTCTAAAGCTTCCTTATGATGTATGATCCAGGAACCTTAAGGTCGTAGTTTTAGATTTTTCGTAACGACCTAGCATTCGACGCTTATTTTGATTTGTCAATAACAAAGCTTGTCCTTGATTTGATCTTCACAATCGGCTGCTCACGGCGCTTCTTATTGTTATTACCTTTAACGATTGTCGATTACATACCTTGTTCCCCAAGAAACTCTCCATTGCGATCAAGAGATGGTGATGGTAGGCCCTTAGAGACCTACTAAAGGGGTTCAGACTGTAGACCGTATTGCCCGCTTCGTATCGGCTTCTTGTCTTAAATAGCTTAAGAATATTTCATTTTCACCACAGTGCCGGTTTGCTTTGACATAGCTGCTTAATGGATCCTCATGATCCTTCGCATATAGAATATTTAGTCAAGGGTGATCTAAACTAATAGTTCGAGTGCGATGCGTTTTACGTGCAATATGGGCATTGATCATAGTTTTAGTTCTAGGCAATTTTAGTAAAAGGATTAATTCAAGTAATTGGACAACAAAATTAGGTCTGTTTGTGCCTTTATAAGTTAAATTTTGAACTCGAGAAAGATTAGGCAGAAACGGTATTTGGCTTACAAAAATCTCAGGTTTAACATTCTTCTAATTCCAACTATTAAGTAAGCAGGTATGTGAAGCATCAGAATAGATACGTAAATCTCTATATCAAAACACTACAGCGTACTACATAATCTGACAAATAGTCACATAGTTGCATGTAAATAGGCATATATAAATCATACTTCACCGTAGAATATGTGATAAAGAAGTACGATTTCTACGTACAGGCTGAAACTATAATATCCTGTTGTATGAGGAGTAAGGGGTTTTCCATCTTCGCCTAAGGCACGCGTCGAGCGAACGTAGTACCGATGGTATTCGTCCCACGGAACACGGGAGTGAACCTGCACGAAATAGTAACATTCATATGTACATAAGACTCCAAAGAGACATCAATTCGTCACGTAAAGTGGTACAATAGTTTTTACATTCGAGAAACAATGTAAGAACGCAACCCCAGGCGACTGGTTAACTTTTTTCCAAAATATCCGAAGCGGCGTGCATCACCAATACACATGATAAATAACGAAAAGAATTGTCGAATACCATTACGTATTCTATCAACCACGTTTCCACAAAAAAGTGAACCCACATAAATTTATTGTTGACGATAGCAAAGATTCCTTTTTTTTTTTGTAGAATTGGTAGAAAAAATCGAGAAATTAATGAGCCTTTAGAAGATTACAGGGGATGATTAAGTAGTATATTTACTAAGTCAATGCAAAGCAGCGCGAGCTTCAAGAGGAAGCATATCTAGGGATTAAACAATATCAAACCTTGAAACTATTTTCAATAGCTTTATGAGAGACCTGTTCCAAACCAATACGTCAAGGTGAACTTCGAGCGATTAGACGGAAAATATTCAATCTTACTGGATTTATTAAGGAAGATGCAAAGAAAAGTTAGTTTTGTGTTGAATAGGTGAAACAGTTTGATTCCTTGTCTTAAAATACTTGGAAAACATAGTCACACACCAGCATATAGCTGTCACAAATAAGCTCCACAAATCAAGACTTCAAAATAGTAACGGTAAATAGAGTGTTGCAGTTCGAAGTCTACTGTCAACAAGGAGCAAAAACATTTCCATTATGCGCAGCCCAATTACCCATCGATTGTGTGAAGCTTACCTTTAATATGTACTCGGCTGAACGCCAGCTTAACTATTATGAGGACAAGTAAGAATAAGAAGCCACTTCACAAGCATTCAAGGAAGACACGAATAAACACCACGTAAAGTTTCCGTTGAAATAAGAATTCATCTTAGACCATGTAAAATCCCTCATGACAATGAAACCCAATGTGATTCAACAAATCCTTGGATCTGAAAAACGCTAAGCATCTCGGGAATTTCTGACGACGTGAAAGTTTAGTTAGCCTTATAAGCTCATGAAAACTGAAAATATAGAAGACCCTAGATATTTAGTTCCAATATATATGCACATTCCTGATAAGAAGGGGTATTCTATGAGATTCTGTATAAACCTAAATGTTACAGTATCCACTATCGAGATCTTATGTAAAGGATGTATCACAAGAGCGACCATCAGACATGGATTCGCGCGATCTCGGCAGCAACGGCCGTTCCCAGTACCGCCTTCTAAATGCAGTCATGCACAAAAAAGATAAAAATTAGGAAAGGCAGGCCTTAGTTTAACTAATAAAGAGAGGGAAAGTCTATGTCAAAACAAACGAAGGACAAATATCAGCGCTGTCAAGAAAAGCAACTGCTACGGCAGGCTTAGGCTTAATTTTATCTGTGGCCACAGAAGCTTGCAAGCGTAATTACCTCACACCCTGTAGACCCCTAGACTTTAAAACTTACTATAACAGTATATTGACGTCACTTAATACCCTACCTTACAATGTCTTTCTGTACATAAACGACTGGCCTACGGAAGACGGGGCTTGACAAAGGCAGCTGTAGCGAGACTTCTCAGCCTACAGCAGCTCCCAAACAATATATCCCCCAACTTGAACGACCAGTAAAACGAATATTTTGAACGAACATTTGTTATGGGATAGACCCGTTTAACCCATTATTTAGTATCGGCACTATACAAAGAGCTCCGAAGTAATGCTTACATTTTGGAAGGTAATGTACTACTGACATAACAATGTCGTGGCAAAGTAACGCCAATAGAATTAATATTCAAATTTCTAGCGAAATCTCCCTTTATTATCTTACGCCATAAATATAGCGAAGTATTACGCACGGAGCATTATAGATTTTAGGCAAAGTGATCTATCTTAGCAACTTGCTGGGCATTCCTATAATACGTTCCTATAGAATATAACGTTGGAAAGTTATGTTCGTCTAGTTTGGTTAGATTATTAAGACTGCGTTTGATTTGGGCTCGTAAACTCAGGTGCTTAAGAAACTACCATGTCAAGAGGATCACGTAATCTCTTTGAAACCATAGTATAACTTAATTACATCATATTAGATTACAGAGCGACCTGACACCAGCTTATTATCCAAACAAATAGATTTGTTTACAGAGATAGCTTTTTTCTATTGTTATTCGCATTACCAGCCGCCAACCTTGCAAAACAAGTCATAGACGGACATCTGTTTGTTAAGATATAACATTCGAACGACCTTATAGCACTGGTACGGTAATGACCGTAGTGGTAATCGATTTTTACCTGCAATAGACGTCAACGTCAGGAACCCAAAATAAAATGACGACTTAAAAATTAACAGAAAAAAGCGTCTTAACAGTTTAAGAAAGTCGGTGACAGTTGAACAGGGATCTCTATTTTACGCTTGTTAGGGTAATCGGATGTGCGCGAATGATTTAGATGGAGACAGCACTTAGCTGTGCAGTCATCAGTATGTGACTTGACAGATGAGTACCTCGTTGTGGTTCCCATGACACCAGCTTTCAACGATATCACAAGGTGTAATATTAGAATAAGGTACGTAAATACAATTAAATAGTTAAAATTAGATAACGTTTAACTATCGTATCCAGCTGTTGACAACTTCTTACGGCATTTCTTAAATATATCACATATATGTTTGTGGTTTTCTGTAGCCTAGCAGTTTCATTCGCTCGACCCATAAGCTTTGTTTAAATGGCCATATCTTCATAAATAACCAAAACAAGTTCACTATTTGGCCATAATGCCGAGACGTCAATGAACGAGTTTTCCAATATGAAAGCAATGCTGGATGTAACTAGATACGCAATTTTCCGCAACTGACATTTACAACTAAAAATGTCGTTTCTGCAATATTGATATACTAGAATGTAACTTATGATGCTTTCTGTACCGCAGCGTCGAATGTTAAATAATAAAGCTTCAGAATTAAGTTCTAGTGCGCCTTGCAGGCGACTGTATGGTATAGATTATCGAGTTGACATGCGGTACTAATAATAGCGAGAAGAACGGATTAACGCATACCCATCACAACTAATACCTGCTGTTCCAATTCAGCATCTTAAAATTAAGCATCTTAAAATCAACTAGGAACTCCTGCATGCAATGGCAGTCAAATGATAAAAGTCCTTACACATGACTATGACAAAAAAGAAGCGAGAAGGTGCACCTGATCGGAATACAAAAGAATTTCGTATGATTGTTTGAGTTTAATTGTTGAAATAGCGCTAAACTAGCCCTATGACAGTGAATGGCGCGGTGTGTGTGTGCGATTAGACGTTTTACGTAGTTGTCTTATCATTTACTTGCGATGGACCTCAAAACTACGTTCACATACCTCTGGATTGTGTTTTGGAAGGTTCTCGTTGATGTGATAGAGCAACTCCACAACGGCGTCCTTGTACATGTCCTCATCAAATTCGAACCGTTCTTTTTGGGGAGGCCTCGCTGGGCCCACAGAGCACATGACGTCTTTGTTTAGAATGAATTTTTTATGGCTTGTGTTGTATACGGCAACGACGCACGGCGTAATAAATCCGACGCACTGACGCATAGAATTGTCTTTAATATCAAGGACTATAGAGAAAATGTAGCGGTTGAAGCGGTGGCACAACAGTTTGTCCTCGGGAGAAAGTGATATTGTCCCCGAATAAATCACCTCCACCTGTAAAAGCATATCGCGTTACTCTGACAAAACCACTAGCTTCATATGAACTTCTACGTAAATGTATACACAAATAGATTACTTTGTCAAGGCTTCCAAAAACGGCCAGATTGTTAGTTGATTCTATACTTTTTCATATTTCCCAATACAGCGATATCTACAATGAGATTAAAAATACTGGGCAGTTTGTAAGAGAAGTGGAAAAGATGAAAGCCCTTCTTAAAGATGTTTTAAGTGATGTGCCACCTAAAACAATGAAATCATTTCATACTAGCTACAGCTTTCGCATTTATATATATATATATATATATATATATATATATATATATATATATATAACTTTGCCAAGATTTTTTCTGGTATGTTCTAAAGCAATTTGAATAATTTCCTTGTATATAAAGAAAAAACAATTAGTTTAGCTTAAGTAACTATCAACTCAGAGCTCTCAGAAGCTTTATGGCAAAACAAAAGGTGTGCCGGGAGCTTGGTTCAAATTCATGCAGTGGAAACTGCCCTTTTCGAATGCACGAAAAATAGGTTCGGTCAGTCCCGATTTCTTGAGTCAACTCTCAGTGGCATTGTAGAGCCGAGGGTGGTCACTCTTTCAAAACTTTTTGATTCGCCATGGCGTAGTGTTTTACTAAAAATTTCGGGGTGGACACTACTTGCCCCGGTTGGCTTCTCACAAACTCATCTTTTTCATTAAAAATTGGTCGAGGCCAAACAACTGTCGGAGATGCTTGGGATATTTGTGCTGTGCACAGGAATGACCATAACGAGAGAACTGCTTAAAACGAGTTTAAGGAGTCCAAAAATGTCATTTTGAAACTGAAGGACGCATTCCGCTCCCGCTGGCCATCTTAGCCCGGTCAAGGTTAATTGGAGGCACTTTTGAAGAAAATGGTTAGCAAACAAGTCAGGAATTGAGCGAAAAAGTTAACGCCAATAATATGACTATCGACAGGCACTTTGGATATATGGGATTTACTTAAAAATTAGAAGCTTGAGTGCATTAACTAAACGCCACAAAAAAACACGGCTTCTCCTTGTTTTCGAACATCTCGCCCGGCACAGAGCAACGCGTAGTTAGAACGGGTTTCCGCATGGAATTATTACGGGTGACAAGAGGTAGTATCTACTCGAATTCGAAAAGAACGAGTAGTTTTAAAAGAGACGTTCAAACTGAAGAGTTAAACCAAATCTTCGTCCCAAGAAGTCAATTTGCGTTCAATAAGAACCACTTCGCAAAAGCTTGGGTGGAAGCTGCTTTTTTTTTTTTATAGATGTGACTCCGATGAATTATAATTTTTTTCGGTCACCGGCAAATTAAATAGGTAACCCTACATTTGACAGTGAAAAGGGTCTTAAAATCTAGTTGGACGAGTTTTTTGGCAGTAGCCGTGAACGTTTCTGGCGGCAACGAGTAGATACACATCTGTCAATCATTGTATTTGTTTCTTGTCGCACTTGTGGGGAGTGATGGCTAATAAATAACTAGTTGTTGCAATAATTTAGGTAAAATCTGAAACTCCAGTGAAACGCCGCCAGTCTTATTACGTGAAAAAGGTCGAATTTAGTTGTACTCTTACCTAGTATACAATATAATTATTTAAATGCGTCTAGAAAGTGTTTTTTTAAGTTTGCTTTGATTACGGCTCGAATTCCATAGATAGTTTTTTCCCAATTCTTTTTTCTAAAATCGTGACTTTCGTTTATTGAAGCACCTTGCACATACAAATTTGAGTTAAATATATGCTGAGCCGACATTAGTTTAAAAATCGTACATTCAGTATATCCAAATGCTTAAAAAACAAACCGCAAGGGGTTACTTGGTCGATTCCATTGGCACTACATACTTTTGGTTTGGAAACAGGCCAAAGCTCTAGATTTCACTTTGGCTCATGTGTTCAAGACGAATCTTCTGCCTCTATAGGTATGAGGTTGTGCTTTTGTTTACGAACGAGTTTTCTTTTGGTATGCGATACATGTACATCCATTACGACAAACGGCCCCATAAAATTCGCTTACATTTTTAAGAACTGAGCTAGGTATACATATTGACTTTGCTCTGATAGAGGGCATTTCTCTTTAGCTTAGTATCTCCCAATCAGACCGCGTCTTTATTTCATATTGAATCATCACTTATCAAGTGGCGTTTTTCTGAGAGATATATTTAGTTGTATCGTTTGCTTGAAAATAGGATTTGATGTTTTTAGATGATGCAGAATATAAAACGGCGAGTTAGTAATAAGTTCAACTGGTTGTGTCAGAGCGTTCTTCCTTTTTTGTTCGAGACTTAATTTCGAAAGCAATTAACCTTTTAACAGCACCACTTAAAGATATATCAAACCGAATGCCTGAGAGACGCATCATACTCACAAAAAGGTGGGGTGCATTTTCAGAGGTAAGGGTTTTTTTTACATATCTGATATCCTCCTTGCAAGAAATAAACATAGGCCTGAGTTATAAAGAAAGAGGTTTTTCTTATCGACGTTTACATAATTCGTTGTTAAACAAAGTTTACATAATTTCTAATGTAATTCCTACCAAATAGTTCACAATCGTAGCAAAGGAGATCCGTTCCATGGCTGCAGCGATCGTAAGACCTGTCAAGAATTTATTCCTTCGTAAAGAGGCATGAAACGTGTAATATACTAAACTCGTTCTGACACTTTTAGATTCTTGGTTCCAGGAGTGTGTCTATTGTGTCTTCACCTGCGGTAGATGCCGGATATTTTTGAAAACATTTATCAGTCTTTTTAGTCGGTGCGAAGCTTGTAGCATTGTACACTGTGTCGTTATATTAAGCACTTTTCTGATAAGGCACTTTCTGCCAAATTGATATGATTTATCTTTTCTATAATATTTGTTTCTATATTTTTTAATTAAAAGGCTTGGTTGGCGTTTGAAAGGTTCTACATTTAATGTATTGTCTTAGCCTTAGGTATGTGCTTCTAGGTATACAGCGATGATAGAAACTTCTTAAATGAGAGCCTAATGACTTAAATATCTGTATCATTCCATTTATCACTATTATTTTTCATTAAACGGCGGGAAGCGGGTATTGGGTAAAGGTACATCTTCTAAAGAATGTCTGTAATAGTCAAATTCAATTAAAAAAAAAAAAGATTTCTTTTTGCTGGGCGCTATCAAATCCCTAAAAAATTCTCTGAAGATCTTTTTGCTAGATAATCTTCATATCCGGCCAATCTGGCCTCTAGAAGCTTAAAAAAACTTGAGGAAAGAAAGATGTGACAACATGGGAGACACTATGCTATCAGGTTTCGAGCTATGAGGTTGTAATCATACGAAATTATGCACGGTTTGAGAAGATAACAAAATGTTAATTTCCAAAGGGATTTAAAATGTCAGAATAAACTGACGTATGTACGCCGTATCCATAAAGCGTTGATTTTAGTGGGGACAACACAGTCTTAGAAATTTATAACATCTCTCTCTTTGTATCAAAATTCCCTGAACTAAATGTTAAGTTCACATCTAAACACTTTTAGGTAAAAAAACAAACATCCGTTTTATATAACTAAATAAAACTGTACCAGTCTGCAGTATACGCATCACAGGCAAGTCTGACTGTTCTTAGCGCTTCTTCGACAAGTATATTATGACAATAATGGCTGATTGGATTTACTATTGTAAAATGTTATTCCACTTCCGGGCATTCCGACTGTGAAGTGCACCACTGCAGTTATGTGTGTTTCACTTACTGCACGGATTAGAGCTTATGATGCAAATGATGCTAAAATTTTATAAAGCATACGCGATAAGACGTTGTGGCTGCTTCTAAATAGCGTACATTGGGTGCAAAGGCATTGCGCAGGCCTTGATCGACAGGACAAAATCGCCTATACACATCTGCTGAATGCTATATTGATTTTCGCTGTTCTCATAGCGCCTTTTATATCTTTGTTCTTTAATGGAGGCCAACGTTTCTCCCTGTTTATCGGAAGAGTTGAATTCACTGGCAAAATAACAAATTGTTTTTTTGACCCAACTCACGAAATACTCTAATTTTCATTTTCGCCCGAGCTCTGTGAATGTCCAGTCTCCTAATGTATTATCATATCTATATCCCATAATGTATTTTGTTAGTTAGTGTAAAGAATAGGAGACAGAACTGTGCGTTTATACTGTTTCATTTTACATCGATAATATCACATGGGTAAACGCTGCATTGGAATAAACCACTTTTTTGCTAGTTACTACACGTGAGTGGCAAGCGGTTACGCTTCAAACCAATATAAACGTCTTTCGTAATTGGTTGCATAATTAGGTAGAACAGTCTGCAAAAAGTTAAGTAACGTCAACTAATATAGCCCCTAATATAATTATAAGTATTCAGCTACGTTGTTATCAGTATCACGAACCTCTTCTTCTCCAGATCGAGTGTAAATCGGGAATTTTGGAAGATTGTCGGGCAGCTTCTCTCTGAGAACAAGCCCCATCCATGTAGGGTGTTGCTGGGGGTCGAACAAGGTCATATCGCCCCTCCAGTTTTGCTTGTCCGATGCCCACTTCACGACATGCGTACATATGGCGTAAAGGTGGTACTTGTCCAATTCCGGAGGCTTCTCATCTACACCTTCTTCCAAGTTGTGTAATGCTGAGGCCTGTGCACGGGGAAACACGTAACGACGAGCACTACTTCCCGTTTTAATCTGGACCTAAACGTTTATTTAGCATTCATTGTTAGTTTAGAGAAAGCTTAAAGAAACAAAGTAAAACATAGGATGGCTGACAATTTTTACTTTAAAAAACCAACCAGCCGTAGAAACTACATCAATTTATATGAAAAACATATTAACCTTTTAGAAGCACCTTTAGTGTATGTCACGAATAAAATTATTTTTCCTCTTTGTATTAAGTTTCAATAACCGGAAAATAAATGGATTTGTGCTAATAGTTGAACCAACAACATGTGTCTTCTTGATAAAACTCTATTTTTGAAACTCTAATTTTGAATAAAATGTTCTTCCTACATATCTTTGCCTGAAAAAACATAGCTTACTCGGGGCTATGGAGAACGTCGCATAATGAGTTGAAAGGCAAAGATATAGTTTGACAGTGGTAATCCAGTCTTGGTAATTAAACGCCTATTGCTTGGAGCTAAGAGGGTTAACGAAACCCATTAAAAAGTGGTAAAACCATTGGGCAAGGGCTTTCAGCAAAGTAACAGTTCGTTACTGGCGCAATTACTGGCTAAGAGCAAAGCTACAAAGGTGAAAGACCAAACTGACGGCGACTGTACTTCAGATTTTTAACCAGAGGAACGTATTATTGTGGTCACGGTCAGCTCAATACGAACAAAATGAAATCCTTACAAGCACGTGGTATAAAGTTATAACGAAAACACTGGCAAACAAAAATATCGTTCTCCACGAAATTCGCCCGGGACAAACGAAACCACGTGTGGTGTGATATGAAACGATTTACGTAACAATAGCCAACGAAATATAGGAGCATAGCACATTGTCATCATGGACGAGACATAAGTTAATCTATACCATTCACCAGAGTATCTAATACCTGCAAAGCCAAGCCCTTGTGAAGGGCTCCTAAAGCGCGTACTTTAATATAAACAATGAAAAGAAAAATATCTAATATAAACCGAATAGAGTTCTTTTATCACAAACGGCTTTAAATTTGACTAACTTTGAAATCATTATAAGTTCAAACTTAGTTCCCTAGTTCGGAAAATAGCTCCGAATAACCTGGTATCCAACACTCGCCTTTTGCAGCTCTTTCTGGGCCTTTTCATCGCTTGCAGTAAGCTTTAACCTATGCAACCTTTCAATACGTGGACGAGGAAGCAGGCGATCGGTAAGTTCGCCTGCTTTATGCAAACGTCGACACATTTCAAGGGCTACAAACACGCGCGCTTTGTTTTTACTTTCAAAAGGTTGTGGATTTGTAATACGCTCTCGCCAAAGTGGTGAAATCAGTGGCAACATCAGAGTACAGAGGAAGCCATCAGTTGTCTCTTCAAACGTGAAGCTAGGAAGCACGTCGGCATACGGTTCTGATGCAAATCCTTGGCAATACCGATACAACAAACTTACAGCACTTTGTGCTGAAATACGAGCTGCGCCAACAATGTAATCTGGTAGATCAGGATCATCTTCTAGCACCTTAATACTTTCGAGCAAATCAGGGGCACGACGCTGTTTTTCACACGCTCGCATTACCAGGAACTCAGTCTCCTGAAAACTGTTTATAAGGTTCTCGGTGTTACGTTGGCTTCGTTCGTCTGTGAGTACAACGTACAGTGAAGGCTTGGCACGGGCGCGACCCTTCGACTGGGTATATGAGCGGACATCTGGTGGCAAATCAAACCGGACTATGAGGTTACACACTGGTACGTCCATGCCCTCCTCGATGACTGACGTGGCGAATATCAGGTTGTAAATACCCTCGCGAAAGTCAGCCATTACCTGCAATAAACTGTAGGTGTGAGCATTCAATCTGTAGTACATAATTTGAAAATTTTAAACACCGTAGTTAAACAACAAAGCAAACTTACTTTGCGTTGTGCCTTTGCGTTCATTTGGAACGATTCGTGGTTGCCATCGTTTTTAAATGGGTTCTGGTTTTGCCCAACAATGAATGAACTGTTGATGAAACTGTATAACGAGTTTTTGGAGAGCTCATTCATCCATCGATAGAGCACGTATGCTGTCATACGTTCTTTTACAAACACAATTGCACACAAAGGCCCTGGCCCGCCTTCATTAGCTTCATTACTAGTTGCGGAATTGTCAAGGTCACGAAATTCACTCAAGATATCAAGTAACCGTCTCATTTTTGCTGGCAAATCCAACGGATCATCGTTGCCCAAAAAGCTGTAGATTTGGCGGAAGATTTTTTTCTTCGTGGGGGCATGCGTCTTGAAATCAGGCGGACAATCGGGTGCTACTAAGGCCTTTTCCAATTCTTTCTCACGAAATTTTAATAGCTGTTTGGTACAAAAAGAGCCGCAAGCTTCATAGAGCTGATTCAAGCCGGTTATCGTTCTACGGAATTCCTTGAAATCTGCGCAATCTTCCATTGAATTCACCAAGTCCTGATCGACGTGCAAATTGCTGTCTGGACTGTGGTTCGCAAAGACTGCAACAATTTCATGTGGTTTAGTTCCAAATACGTCCGTGCCAGTGACCGTTTTGGCTCTAGCAAACAAAGTAGCCTCGAGCTCACGAATTAGTTTGCACACTTTTATCCCTTCTCGTACCTGTAATATGTAGTTTTTTCGTGAAAAAAGCTATATATTTTTATTCAATAGATGTATTTCGTTGAAATATTTAAATTTGTTTAACTTATCCAATTAGTTCTCAAGGCACGTCTCGGTGAAATATCCTGGGGTACGCACTATGAGGGGATACAGTATGGAGAATGATAAGTGAAATTTGCATCTTATACAACTGCGTGGTTATTAGAGTGTCTTACATGGAATGAAAGAATCTCTGCAACGTTCGAAGAATTTTCTTTAAAACCAGACATAAGAACAAGGGAGCCTACGTCAACTCTAATATTAAATGCACTTTTGTCATAATTCTTTACGGTCATCAGAGTTTTCGTAGACAGTTGCAGGCCCGACTTTAAATGTTGAGTTCACCTTATGGGCTCTTTATCACGCTAATGCACCAGCCTCCACACCAATGCTACTATCTCTATTTAACCCAACGGTTTTATTCACCGGTCAAGTACCAGGTGACGTTCCTCTTCGCAATATTCAAAGTAGTCTTCGAAGGAAGTATGAGTTATTAGAAAAGTTACCGAAGAAAATAAGACCCATCTTAGGCTTCGAATCTAAAAAGACGCTTTGATAGATGGGAAACAAATGTTTGGATTGGACTATTTCAACGGGGCACAGGTAATGTTAAATATATACTTTTATCAGTTTAGAAAATCACGCTGGTCCTCATGTTTTAGCTCTGTGACTAAAACTTGTAAAATTGTTTTCAACATATTCCTATTTCTTCTTTAAGAAATCCCACTCGATTTGGGAATAATTTCAGATTTAAACAGTATTAAAAAGGATTTCATTTTCTTCTATAATATATCAAGGAACGTGCAGAATCCATTGTATGATACAACTCGAAAGCACTGCACCCTGTGCTGTCTAGTGATGTTTGCTAACAATCTAACTACGAAGCCGACCTTAGATTATATATTATTTGACGAAGTACTTACATTTACCTCAAAGAAGAGAAGATAACCTTTCTCAACACATTTACCTGTGCATTGATGACAGAAGCAGTAAGACCTAGTATAAGAGGACGTGACTCAGCAGGTATCTCTTTGTATATTTTCATTATCCCTACATACGGGTCATCTCCGGTAGCACGATGGCATTCGTCGAAAATAAGCACATTTACGCTTTCAAGCGACATGAATCCATGAAGTAACACGTTTTTGAACACTCCTGGGGTCATTACGAGCACTCCGTATTTCTCGAAATTATTGTTCCACTCCTCTGATGACCAAAGATCAACCTAAATCGTTTAAAATAAAAACGTGTGAGTCAAGCAATAGCAGTTTGGATTTTACAGAAATTACTGTTCATACTCCTTAGCAAAAATACTTCAAAACTGATCACAAATGCTACACATATTATGTATGTTTCAAGTCAATTCAAATAAACTTTATTCAAACATTTCAGCTTTATTAAGAATGTTTAATTTGTTAATCATATAAATCTTGTAACAATCAATTAAGCAATGCTGAATAGAATTGATCTTCTGATTTTCTAAAAGCATTCACGGCCAACCAACGTTACGTTCACCAATACCTTCCAGGACAACAACATTTTTTAATGCAAATTAAAAGTCAGATTTTGTTACGACGTTGTCGAATTTATATATATATATATATATATATATATATATATATATATATATATATATCTGGCGAAAACGATTACATTTTCTCATATCGTATGGAGCTGCTGATTACACTGTACAGATTTTTTACCTTGAAATAGTTGCAATGCAACAATAATATTTTAGAAGCTGGCTACACTTTTCACGTAAAGTACCGGTAACGCGACCCAACGATAGCATAGCAAGTGTTAACATGCCTGATAACGTACTTTTTAATTTAATTTTTAAGATCGTCGTTCGTTGTTTGAATTTACTGGTTTATCGCCAATACAGTGATCGTGTAGTATCATCAAGCCCATGAAAGCGGCGTGTTTACATTTTAAGTTTCAAACTTGCAGTTGCTTTTAAAAATTCATAGTAAAGGACGCTTTTGTTTCTTTCACCATGCTCATAAATGACGCTTTTTCATTTTTTTTTATCTTGAAAGTGTCGGAGCAAGTTTCTTGTTTCTCTACAGGGTTGCCTCACTTGATTGTCGTAAAACCAATGCTCATCGCTTGTAGCAATCTGACCCAAAAATTATATTGAATTCGCTCTGAAGCAACGAAAAACAATTGATCACCCGATTGAATTACACCCACATCTACACTTTGTGTACTTTTTCTATTAATGCAAAGCAGTTCTCAATGTAGAATTTCATACACCCAGTTCCTGACTCAAAACGGTAGCGGCAATCAAAAGCTCACCTTTGACCACTAAATCTATCTCGTCGTTGCTTAATAAAACAAAAAGGTAGCCTCGAACAGGAAGCATTTTTGAATGCACGAAATTTCTTGAACCGAGATCTTATTAACTGATCGGTAGAGCTGCGTCTCCAAAGGCGGCACAAATGTTTAATAGACATTAAAAAAAAAAAACAAAAAAAAGTAAAAAGTCCATGTAGCTTGGTCTTTCATTTTCGAGAAACTAGTTAACTTCATTAGATTTCAATTTACCTGCATAGCGCCTACAAAGTGGCCGACTTCAACTGAGAGATGTTGTTTAAGAACAGAGGCCTGCTGTTCCACTAAAGGGACGGTGGGAGCCAAAAAGATCGTACGTTTGCTGCCAAGATTTTCAGGTCCAGCCGACCATTTACCTGCCACCTGAAAAATTAATTATGCGCAATTTTTATTTCTAGCCAACAGCATAACCGTTAGAATCACATTGGCGGTTACAATACCATTCAGTTGCTAAAATGTATTATTCTCTATTATAGGTGCAGAATAATTAAGTTAAACGATGAATATTAACTAATAACATTGCCACGTAGTGGCTCTCTTTAATAGACTCATGCGGTAGAAAACCGCACAAAGCATAAAACGAATTATTAAGGAGTATGAACATCAAGGTTCAAGTACATATTCATTTCTCGCTATGACGAAACAGTTGTGCTACTACAACTAATGATAATCATATCTGTACTATTTTTTAAAAACGCTTGTAAGACTCTTTATACACTGCCTGCATGCCTTACGCAGAAGTACTTATCCGAAAGGATTGGTTACATCCTTATATACCTCTTTTTTGCTACCACTGTATATTGGTAGAATAAAAGTGTAACCATCGACACCTGTTAATGCTTATCGAGTTCGATCATTCTAACACCGTTAGTAGTAGTTTTTTCCGCTGGACCAATCGGCCTCTCAGACCCCCACTTCTATTCCTTTTCAAACTCGGTTTTCTCTATCATTTTTTTTCGGTCATATCGTTTGCTCCCATATAGGCCCCGTTTTCGCTCACATCTACGAGTAGTCTTTTTACTCAGATGTAATTCTTTTCGGAAACTTCCATACTTAGTAAGGATTAGTGTCAGGTAGTAGATAGCAACGCCATAATTCTTGTTGAACTATTTACTCAAGTAAGGGACCATTTGACGCGTTGGTTCCCTGATAAGCTTTTTGATGGAGTGTTGCGCTTCTTTACAACGGTTTTTCTATTTCTTACATTTTGTTTCTTTCCCTCTTCGATGGAGGTTGTGGCCAGTCATTTGCGGTGCTTGTGCTTCTTTTTCTAGCTTGGTTATAGATCTTTGTACAAGCTACGATATTAGCCACCCACTAGTATTTCGCAAAATACGTATTGGATTCTTTGTATGGCTCAGTGCTGCCGCTTTACAGGTTGCTCTTGGCAGGTCCAACTCCGCCTATGGTTAGACTAGGTTTCCCATGCTATCTATTTTTGTCCCAAACGTGTCCCCGTTAGGTCTGTGAATACTCGCTTCCGAATGTAAGGGAATGTGAGGAAAGCCGTGGTTGTAAAAAGAATCGAGTCTTTTATTTTTTTTTTCTCTGGAGTCTCAGTTATGATAACTGTTGCTACTAGACATTCACCTATGTACATTTTTGTCCTATCCTTAGTTTAACACACACGATTTTGACCATATCTAACAATATTATTTTTCCAGTTTCTTCTAAACCCGTAGTGATTGTTTCATTCCACTTACCAAAGTCAAATACTTTTGTCCCCGTTGGTATCTCAGAATGGTACTGAACATGACTTTCAAAGTCCTATGCAAACATCAAGTATACAACCAAGTACTGTCAGGAGATAGATATTTTGCAAAAAATTATTTCTTATGAAAAATAACGAGACTCGAGTTTAAGCTAGAAATTACAAACACCGATTTATTTTTTTTTCAAATATTATTTTGCGCATCATGTAGAAAGATTGAGTAGTTTCAGCGCTTAAATGTTTCTAAGTTTTATATTTTTCTATTGGGGTTCATAGGGAAACTTCATATTTTTAGCATCAAATTTATTTTTTTCCCATACATCGTTTAGCTTTTTACATTTGTCTGTCGTATATATATAGGATGTAGCACTTAAGTTGGAACAAACTTCGGCAGGTTGTTTCATGCGGGCAAGCAGGTACATGTTCAATTTTTGCTACTTGGAGATAGTCTAACTTTCCAAAACAAAACGACAAATCCACCATGGCAGAAAGAAACGCGTAGAGAGCAAAAATAAACTCTGACCTAGTCTATTTGCTTTGTACAAATCTCCCACCGAGATTCAAAACTTAAACTTTTCCTTACGAAACTGACGTTTACGTTGCTGCGTTCTAAGAGCTTTTAACAAATCTGAGGAAGATTTTTATGACGATAATTTTTTGTATTTAAAAGATTACAAAATTAATCAAAGTAGCTTAAAAATTATTCTTGATACACTTATAAGAAACTATTACACATATATTTTTAAATGCATGTGTGATGTTGCAGTAGTTTACAACTGATTAGATTATGTATATATATATATATATACATATATATATATATATATATATATATATTTTAGTTAATTCCAAGTTATTTCTGTCGCAACAGCTGGCCAAGCTGCTGCAAGGCTGAAATCCTTAATGGGAAGTTTAACAGCAAGTTATATTGCCTGCGAAACTAATCTTTTTTAACTACTTGAAACCTAAACAACAGATTAAGACTTTAAAGACAGCGCTGGGCGACCATGGTCTTAACAGTAAGGTGACCATATAAGGAGAATGCAATAGGCGGGCCATTGTCTGAACGAGATCATTTCCATATTTGACGCATAAGTAGATGCTTCCAGGTAGGTACTCGTCAACGGGCTCCTGTTTCGTAAAAAAGTTACTGCGGCGCTGCTGTGGCGCGATTTCAACCCATAATTTGTCGCTCTCGAAAGATTAACAGACATGTAAGCGTTCAAAAATTACGTGCACACCGAAACTTTCCTATTTGTTACATGGAAAATTTGGACAACTGTCATTCGGTTATCATCGCATATCTAAACTGTCGAAACTCAGTATTTCTTATTTAAAAAGTTCGTTACATGTCACGGTAGATGTCGCCATTTACTTTTGCTACTTCATTACCTGATTCAAAGAGGAAAAATCAAATAACACCTTTGCCCTACAAACCGCAGCACACAGTGGCTTATTTGTTAGTGAAGTCATTACTTGACACACACTGAGGTGCCCTGAACCCTATATTTTCATTTATCCCTAACTTTGTTTCTTTACATAGCCACTGAGCTAAAAACGAGCTTCATCAGATAAATTATGGCGTTAAGCAAGTCGTAAGGAAACGGCTTATGCTTTCAAACCTTACTAGCTCGTGATGGTCGTGGATCTGTTTTTGAGTTATATTCTGTGAAATCGTAGCTTGACACGCACTATTAGAGTACTCTGAGCCTCGGATTTATTTATGTTTACTTAATTACATAACCATTCAGCTAAAAACGAGCTTCATCGTAAAAAATTATGTCATTAACTATTAGGGAAGGAGTTGATGCTTCAAAATGTAGTCAGTACATAACGATGCTCGTGGTTGTCCTAGATCTATAATTGAGTTACATCCTACAAGGACGGGAGTACGCCTCTTGCTTCAGAGTGCACGATATTTGATTGCTCTTTTCCTATCACTTGCCTTGTTTATATTGGCTAAACAATATTTACCAAAATGCTTACATTTTTTTCGAGATCTGACGCTAACTCTGTATCAAGTCCCTTAAACTAACTTCATACCGCAATGCGCGTATCTGCCAATGGTAAAGGACGAAAAATATCGACACCGTGACAGCGCTTTACGGTTAGTATCCTAACAGAACAAGTATCTTCCTTATCTCTTATCTATTACCTTCCCTGTCTGCCACTCAGAGCAAAAGTTCTCTACAAGCAGGGGATTTCTTACAAGTATTATCACAAATATCTGATCCGAAAACCCAGAGTATAACCATTAAACCACAAATGCTTCTTATATCGCTACAGGCTTAAACCTGTACCTGAGAATGCTCAGTTAAGTCCAATATAAGGAGTGAAACTAGTTAGATGAATAAAACTAAACATACGTTTATTGTCAACAAAGAATGAAGATACGATACTTTCGAAACAGAGCTAGTTCTTGATAATGTACCTGATGTTCGAAGTGCTTGATAAGCAGCACAGAGATGAACGTTTTTCCCGTTCCGGTGCCTAAGACTACAATGGTGTTGTGTTTCTTGGCGAACTCGAACATCTCCAACTGGTAGGAACGAGCCTGGTCTGCTTCCAGGCGACGATTCGTGGCTGCCATCTCCTTCGGTTGAATGTTTTTGCATAGTTTAGATCTATTTTACCTAAAAGGTACTTGGTTAGGTAAAGCTAGCTTTAAAATCAAACAGTATTAACTATGCATGTGTGAGACTCGAACGCGTAGGTCTAATAGAAATATCCTAGCTAGTATTTTTCAAAAAGTCAATTAGCATTAAGCATACACTTACGGGATCTGCAGCACTTCTCTGTGTCAACGGATATTTCATATACCGACTTCACCTTGAAATAAACAGTGCGCAAAGAACAAATTCAATGTGCATACCGACAAATATAACAATAGGGAAAATCATAATGGCGATACCTCCGCAACAACAACATTGTTCAAATATAGTTGTGAAGTATATTATTCTTGACGCGTCTTTTATATCAAGTGCACATAATGCCTCAACAACGATTCGTCAGAACCATCTAATTATATTTGAAATCAAATAACTATTATTTTGAATAGCAACATGAGATTCGCTCAGATAAACCTTTATATATGTCAAAAATTCTAAAGCAAAGAACATGCTATAATACTGAACAAATATCTAACGGATGAACATTTATTTTTTCTTGGTAGTGAATCGTGCAAATACACCATCAAAAAGAGAAAAACCATTTCCATCATAATTTAAAGTATGTCTAGGTCGAGCACCCTCCAAGGTGTGAGATTCACGATGTTGCTCTGTATACTACTCGCCAGATCTCTAACCATGCGCTTTTTGACAAAAGTTTGACATAATCATAGCAAATGATTATGTCAAACTTTTGTTGACGATCATGTAAATTTGATCAATTTTCCATCCCAGTTATAGTATGTGTGATACTACTACAAGAACAAATGTGCACCTAGAAACCAGAAATTACAAGTACCGAAAAAAGTTCTAAGTATTTCGCACAAGTCGAAATCATAACCTACAGTAAAATGCCGCTATACGGGAATTGAGAATACGAAGTTTAATTATTGTATATTCGTCGAGGTATATGAATTTCATTGACCAAATCAAAGATGTTCTAATAGTTTTTAGGTCAGCCGAAGCCAGGTGCCAAACAAGTTTGTAGGAAAAAGTATGAAAATATAACGAAAAGTCTAGACGGCTTAAACAGTGACATCTTAAGTACCGAACATGAATACCGCAGGTAATGTAAATCCCGTTTTGTCTAAGACAGGCGTAGACAAATAAACTTCTAATCTTGCAATTTAAAATACTCGTAAAACCGATACTCAGACAGCATGATTGTAATGACTATATGGCGTATACCGTTAATTAATAAAACTATATTACAGCTGGCACATGTTTATGCCCATAATTAATAAGAGGAATGAAAAAATGAGTACATTTACTAATAATTATCATAAGAACGTCACAAGAAACATCGTCCTCTATAAAATAGAGTACTTATACTTAAGTTTATCTATCAGTAAATTAAACTGAAATAGAAACAAGTTCTATGAAATCCAAATGCACTTATCATACATTAGCTATGTTTCGCTAATGACACTAATCTCACTAATCACTATTTTTTCGTGCTCCTTAACTACTTGGTACTACAATAGAAAACAACATATGTATCTTATAAAAACACGGTACTAGCAAAATTTAGTATTAACTATCACAAGCAAATCCGGTAAGCTTCAAAGTCGAATAATTTTTGAAGCAGTTAAGCTAAAGGGATGCTTTTTAATGTGTTATTAGTATTTCTTTGCCTCTAACATCCTTGCTATGACGTTCCGGTAGCTTCTGGATAGCTACATACTTCGCATTCGTTTTCTCATACGTAGCACATGCCCCCGATGTCTATTGCAAGTACCGCTTCACCTTACGTCCGAACCTATTCAACTGCCACCACACGCTTTTCTCTCTATAGCGACGCGATTCTTTCGCTTGATCCTCCTCCGACTGATGTAGATTGAACCACGCGTCCTCCAAGACTTCGTCTACGGCAATCATATACCGCAGACGGATCTTCTTTTAAGTCAAGTTCTGTATATTGCACGTGAAATACATTACACGCATTTTTCTGGGATCAATTCACGGAGGATCCATTTTTTATTTATTCCGAATTTTCAGCACCTGCGTTATAATTTCGAGATACGTTATATGTACAACGCTAGTTTTAGCAGACTGAGCCATCAAACTCCAAACTCTGCTTTTATAAAACCTCGCTGATTGCGACAGTGCGTTTTCGTTTGGATGCCGATGTCTGGTCACTACCCACTATCCTGCAAAACTCCAATATCCTTTCATAAAATATTTGCACCACTCACGTACTGTGAATTCGCTTAAGGCCTCGCTAAATCTTTTCACCAATCTTCGATGGATTTCCACAGTGCTGTGGCCTCTAAGCGAAAATTTGAGCACTGAATGAGGACTTTCGAAACTAATACATACTTACTTCTAGATTTATTTCTCTTGAAGTAAGCTTCACCGGGTTCCATCCGCAAGTTTCTAGAGATTTAAATCTTTGTCAGCTAAATTTTATTGTCTAGCGGCGCGTTATTTAATTTCAACTACCGTACAATTTTATGCTATAAGATGCGCTACGCGCTTGCTTACATAACGCCGCGCTACAAAAACAGTTTACGATCCCGTTAAGCTAACGTATGGCACTCGGATGTGTTATTCAACATGATCTAATTAAATTACACCTATGTCAAACCTCTGACTGATTTACCGCGGTTTATTTGGCACCAGACTGCTGCGTACGGGTGTCCTGTGCTAGGCTACATTTAATTACAACTTTAAAAAATTGGTAAAAAAATCTTAATTGATTCATCTACTTATTCAAAATTGGATTACGTCATTACTGGCTTACAACGAACACCAGTGCTTCAAAACACCTTTACTAGTATCTAAGCAAACTGTCGGTGTCACCTCGGGTAAAAGTTTTAATCGAATTAATTATAATACCATTTGCCTTCATAGTCAGCTCCTAAAGTAATATTTGTAACAACTGTAGCACACCTGGCTGGATCAATAGTATAACTCAAATGCAGATAATAGCCAGCGCGGAAACAAAATTTAATAAGAATACTCGCTGAAAATCTCAATATATAGTTTCATAAGAACAGCCAGCCGCGGCATTTCTTTGAGCAACACTTCTATATGCGTAAAGAAAGTGTGAGAAAAAATAGTCTCTTCTTGTCCATGAAAGCCACAGTACCTAATTGTTAATGGCATCATGCACACTAGACAGCTATACACATTTTTCCATACAGATAAATAATATAGCTAAAATATAATATATTCAAACTGCATTCAGGCATTTGTGGCACTAACGATAAACATTATTTGTAACGGATGAAATGGGAGTCAATGGCAAAGGGTAGTGTATTGTATTTAGCGGTAGATGGTAAATGGCGTCACCCTTTATTACATTTGTTTTTCTTATGAACTATACGAACTATCCATCTTTCAAAACAGTCGGGCATTATGCAAAACATAAAATAAAATCGCATACATTATATACGTCATACTTGGGCTTGAGATTGAACGAGTAATAAGTAACATGCCAAACAGGGTACCAGATTCATAAATTCGTAAAAAAAATAAAAAATCACTTAATTTACTTTAGGTTCTTTACAGCATAGACGTGACGGGAAATTTGTAACATAGAAGCAGATACATTCTAAAGATTACGTATTTGAATAATGAGATTAGTTGGATCAATAAAAGACTTGTGCTTGATCACGCTTGTAACCCCTTCGAAAAAAGCAATTTCAGTACATATGCAAGATTCATTGTCATTAAAGTCTTGCGACTTACCTACATCAATACCTGTCGCAGATACTAGCAGAACCTGCCACTAAAATAAGCGCTACGCTGAAATTTCTAAGAACCGATTGAATTAGCTAAGCTTCTGGCTAAATATCCCGTATCTCAAACCTGCTCCGTCAATGGGCACAAGTTAGTTGCAAGGCTCGAGCAATTTCCTTAGGTAGTACATGCAATGTGCTACTTACAAGTTATGATATGACAACCAAATTTAAAATTTCTTAAAATAATGAAATATTATTAACGCAAAAACTTTCTGTAGACATCTATACCGATGTTCATCCGGTTGCAAGGAACTTATTTATACGCTTTGAAGCAGACGATGTAATGAGTTCGAAATATCCACTTCATAAGAAACAGCACATAACAGCTATACAACCAATATAGATTCACGAAAGAAGTCTTGTCAGTTTTACCATATACATAAAAAGCTCACCAAGTTCTAGTTAATTGTAAATAAAATATAACAATAAATGTATTTTCATATATACTATATTTACTAAGAAATGTAGTGGTAGCGCTTACTGCGCCCCCTGGACAACACGGCAACAATCGACAGATAGGCAGAAATCATGAGCGCGAATGCTCTGGTCACGGGACTCGCTGCAAATCGAAGAAGTGGAAGCACAGTAAGACCGTGAACTCAATTCAACATTCCAAGTGCTCCGCGATTCGAGCTGCAACCTCAAAAGTCATCGAGTGTCTATTTGATTGACAGAGTAAGTTCACTGGTTATTGCTTTTTTATAAAAGAGTTGAGAGCTTCGTCGTTGGTTCAGCTTTGTTATGCATTAATAGTATGTTACAGGCTGTGGAGTGTTCATAATCAGTGCTATACTATGTGTGTTTTGTGATCCGTCATTAGCCATACTATGTAGTCAGACAGACAGTTACTCGATCATGAACCTTTGTGGATCGTCTCCATACTTTGGGTCAGCAGTATTATCATGACAACGAATGAAATTCGTCGAGCTTTGAGAGGAAACTTCTCGGGATGGGCATTAGCTTGATCGGTAACATAGTCATAGGGTACTATTATTACGACGGCTGATTTACGAGAGTAACTTGTGTTGGCCTAAGGAATACTGTGTACTGACCTTATGTCGTCAGTACACCCCGTCACATGTTCTGGCTGTGTGGCGGTGTCGGAGCAGTGGAGTAATCTCCTTCATGATAAAAAAATTACCCTAATAGGAAGCATATCAGCTGAAAAAGTAAGGCACCGTGATAATCTGGCTACGTAGGATTGAAATCCAAAATTCTAGAGTGTGATTTTAGCACGTGATGTTATTCTTGAAGTCAAAATTGCGCCAGTCCAATCGTGAATATTGTAAATTAATATTATATCTATGGAAAGACATGTATCTATTCTTTGTAATTAAAGTAATTCTCTAAGTAATAATAGTTTCTATAATTTGTGTAATAGACAATGCTTTATCGTCGATAAAATATTATGAAGCAAACTATTTGAAGAAGCAGTGCGACAAATTATGAGAACTGTTTGTATCAAAAGTACTGGAAATAGGCTTCATGGTACGTAAATAAGATTTCCTCCTCAAATTCTACTGATTGCACTGTAACTATTAATGGTAGATGACAATGAGGCCTCTGCCACAAAAGACATTTAGCATTTAACACTTAACATTTTAACATTTAGACATAGATGGTAGAAGGAACCTGGCGACTGTATTATGAAGCATCGGCTATTTCACAAATTATGAGATACTATTTGTATCAAAATTACTAAAAATGGGCCTCATGGTAGGCAAATTAGAGTTCGTCCTAAAGTTTTACTGACTGTACTATAAGTATTAATGGCAGGTGACAATGAAGCTTCTGCCACAAAGGATATTCAACTGTGAAGCTATTAGACTCGAAGGAACCTGGCGACTCTATTTTTCATTACAGTTCATTCACTAAGCACGTTTAGTACTTTGATGGATTGAGATATATTTTTTGCTATAAGAAAATATGACCGTATTTTGTGACAAATAATGTCGAGCAGAGGCAATGTTTTTTTAGGTTTTTTCGGAGCTGCATAAGGAAACTTAACGTCAAGATTTATAATCAATATATGTTGAATGTCCGAATATCGTTGGCTGATTACTTCGCCTCACCTTCACAAATGTGCTTCAGAACGTCGGCGAAGAAAAGAAAGTACACAGGACATTACTCAACTATGTTTTCAATGATTAATTCATTTCCTTATGCATGTTGTATATGCAAGCCATTTTTACGTACTTACGTACGTGACTGTATTTAGTGCATGAAATATCGGCGTATTTTCGCCAGCGTTTTTACGTGCATTCTCATCCGCCAATGAAATTCGCGCAGCACTAAGTAGTGTCGAGGTTTCGCCATTTTAAGTCAAGCAAATAGTTCAAGAAGAGCATTGACAAGGCTGAATGTGCTTATGGAGAAGGATTATTAGGAGCGAAGTGTGTATATCGTAGACATTTTAGCCAGGTTAACGAAACTGTTAATTATAAAATTAATGGTCTATTATTGGAGGACATGGAATTTTTCAGAAAATTACATGTTACAGGGCGTACTTTTCAACTTAGCAGCTGCTATGAGTAGTTTTGTTTTCACAGGCTATTCCTGCGACTACGATGACCGAATTCTGGTTGATATCGGCTCCAGGGGAGCAAACATGTCAGCACACATGGGAAAAACTAAATGAAGCAATAGGTCGAGAACAGCTTGCAACAAACTACAAATTCAATCTGCCTGATCTTAAGGTAACTCGAATAGAACGAAAAAAAATCAGTATTCACCCGGCCTGACCTTAGTAAACATATTAAACGTAGGTTCAAAGCTTGCATGAATTTGGAACAACTGTGTAATATTGTTTCAAGAAGTATGATTTGTTCAGTGCAATTTTCTGCTTCATTAGAAATGCGAGCTTTAATTTGTATATTAATACGGTGGGCAACTAAATACAATTAGTATACCTAGGGTGTCTAATAATGAAAATGAATGTGCAATATCAGCCCTGTCAGCAATTTAAAGGTTGTTCATATGCTAAGTCAGCTAAATGGTAATTAAAAAAATTATAATATTTGCAACGTTAGAAAAGGGCTCATTAATTTTAATTCTGTTAACTGTAATTCAATCATAATTATTCGCACCCTTGATATCTATTTAACTCCAAAAATGGCCAATAAAGTATCAATAAATAGACCACACTTTGGGCATTGCTTGTTATTGGCTCTGTAATACTAATGTTAATTTACTCGATGGTTATTTGGTTTAAAGGCTATATCGCTTTCGTATTTCGAGCACGGTTCAGATATATGCATGTCAAGCATTTCTGATGTAAACATTCTATGCGATCTGAATGAAAAATAAGACGAGGTTCTTTTCACAGAAGCTTGTTTCGTTCACGTATAACAACCATTCGTTTCATATTGTTTACTTTTTCAAAGGTGGGAACTCTGGATCAACTAGTTTCGCTATCTGATGAACTGCAGCGTGTGGACCAGTTTACAGAGCAAGTTACTCGTAAGATTGCAAATTACCTTGCAGATGTGTTCGAGGATCAGAGAGATAAATTCAGCGAAAATCTCAAGGTAAAAAATTGTTTCGATTGTTCTCAGATCCTTAACCAGTTGGAATGTTTTAATATAGTAGAGTGAAAAACCTGGTTTGTCAGAAATACAAAATATCCAAAATATTTAGTTATTACTTCCATACGTGTCATTAAGCTCGATGGACACCAAGAGAATATTGCCTTGCGTAGCATAAATATTGTTCTATAAAACAATGTTTTCAGCCCATTACTACAATTTATTATTCGTTTCACAAGATTTAGACCTCCATTTATTCCATCAGTTAGGTCCTGTTCAGACAAGCCTCACTTTATGAATTTTCGTGTTTGCTGTTGCGCAATCTCTACGATCGGAATACCGATCTAGGCGAACGGAACGGATTTGGTGCTTTACGTCAAACGGTTCAGCTGGGACGTGGCAAAATATCCAAAGCATCAGCCGCTGCCCGCGCTAACCCAAATGATTAACAAGCAGTTGGGGATGATCGACAGTGAGCTCAAGACACGCTCGTCAGGATACGACACGCTAAAATCCAATATTCAGTCGTACGAGCGCAAGCAAACAGGGTCCTTACTTGTGCGCAATCTGGGAGATCTCGTACGAAAGGAGCATTTTGTGCTTGGTTCCGAGTATCTGGTAACGCTCCTTGTCGTTGTCCCCAAAGCGTTGTTTAAGGCATGGATGGAGAACTATGCAACGCTGACAACTATGGTCGTCCCAAGAACTACGCAGCTTGTACACGAAGACCAAGATCACGGATTATTCACCGTAACACTTTTCCGCAAAGTTGTCGATGAGTTTAAGACTCAGGCTCGAGCAAACAAATTCATTGTTCGTGATTTCGAATATAACGAACAAAGCATTCAATCAGGCAAAGATGAGCGTGGTCGAATGGAAACAGAAAAGAAACGCCAGCTTGCGCTACTCATTCGCTGGTTAAAGAACAACTTCAGTGAGGCTTTTATCGCTTGGATTCACACTAAGGCACTGCGTCTCTTTGTCGAGTCGGTACTTCGCTATGGACTACCGGTTAATTTCCAGGTAAACTAATCACCTTCATATACTTTCCGAAAGGGCTCTGACTCGATGGCATGATTCGATTTATCAATTCATATTGACTTCACGGAAAATAAGTAGTTATTTTATTTATGGTATATTCACATTTAATTTGCTATTATTTACGCATACAAATATTATATTATATATTTTTAAATATATTATTATATAAAATCAAATATATAGGGAGATAATATTTGTGGTCTGCAGGGTTAACTATTTCTTCTTATAGGGCTTAGAACTTCGGAGATTTTTACAGTACAATTATGTACATAAACTACATGGGAACTTTACAGTACGTTTGCATATGTAATCTTATTTTCATCTATTACTTAATAATTTATTTATTACTAATCTCGTTTCAACTTTATTTTTATTGCAGGGTATGCTACTTCATCCTCAAAAGCGTTGTATGCGCAGGCTGAGAGACGTGCTGAACCAGTTGTACAGCCATTTGGATAACAGTGCTGCAGTAGGGCCCGTGGAAGAGATACCCGGTTTTAACATGGGGCCTTCCGAATACTATCCCTATGTCTACTTCAAAATAGTCATTGACTTCGCCGACGTTAAAGCTCACTAAAGTGTGTCGATTGATTAGATAGCTACGAGTTGTTATCGAATGCATGAAGTTATGCATCGAAAATTGGGCGATAAACTCTCTTTTGTCTAAGGCAAAAACAAGCAAGTCTGACACAGCGAGGAATTGCAAAATTAAAAAATTGCGTAACCTGCTAATTTGTAGTTCCAGATATAACGACAGCAACAAGTATAAGGTAACTTATGTCAGCTATGTCTAGCTAGTAGACGACAAAGTACTAGAGCACTAAAGTTAGATGACGTAGTGTTAGCAGCCGGAATAGTTGTCTCAAGTGTTTCAACTTAGAAGTTTCAAATTAAGTACATAATTACATGATATTTGTGTTGGATAATTTTAGGGGTTAAAAGATACATAATGTTGACTATGTGGAAGGTGTGGAAAACGTATTTGACGGTTATTAATTTGATGTGATGTACGTTGACGGTTATTAATTTGATGTGATGTACGTTGATGTGATGTCACGAAGGCCCGCCCTATTAGGCTTGACTGAGTATGAGCGAGTAAGCAGACCAGCTATTATGTTATGTCTAAGCTATGGCTGCTACTTGGTAGTAGGAATTATCACAAAAAAATAACGATTTATAAGATCGTTAATAATCTAGTCGGACGTAGTTTTGGTTGACTAATCAAATATAAGCTTGAGGGTGTTATTGCATCAATATTGGGAACAAAAAGATCAAAAATAGTCGCGACTCAAATTATCAAGCATTCCATTTTACAGGTGAATAAACAGCAGTTTCAGTCCAGTTATTTTTTGTCTTCGTGTTGAACCAAAAACATGGCGGTACAACGATAAGATAAAGCAAAAAAAAAAGTGAATAACTTACTTATTTCCTGTTTTCTTTTCCCTAGCAATTTGATGAAGTTTGTGGTTTTAACCCGTACACCTAAGCGCATCGGTGTGATACTCAATCGGAGTCTATGAACTACAGAGAAAACCGCGTTGTTGACACAATAAATCGCGTTCAAGTTCTTTAATTGGTAGATGCGTAGTCATTACAATATCAAAGCACAAAGCAGTCACCTTTTTTATGACTGTCTTACAAACTTCTTTCACTCAAACATAACCTATTTATAGCTGTGCATCAATTAATAACAGAATAAGTTAAGATTGTGCATTGAAAATTGTATCAAGAACTGTATCAAGAACTTAACAGACCATACATTTTTATCGTCCCGATTTTTAATTGAGTTTGCGATCATACAGAACACTCAAGGGTTCTGTGTAAAATATAGTGATTGAAGACGAGCCCTATGGCAATGGGCGTTTAACTTAGATTGCCAAACTTAGATAGATTAGAAAGCTAAGTATGCAAAATCTAGAGAATACCTCCTTTATCAAATATCCATTCGACTAAGGGCATTCGTTAACCCTTAAATGAGTAATATCTCCTGTATCAATATCTATTCGACTAAGAGCATTTGTGAACCGAAATGAGTTTGCAAGCACAAGTATTTCCTATTTGTCGCAGCTTCCATAGAACAGTAAACTTACAAGCTTTTATCCCGATAAGGCATATTTTATGTGATTTTATTCACTGCATTTCGTAGCTCTGTCGTTAGCTGCCAAAGGTCACAAACGGATACTATAAATTTTTATTCACAAATCGTTCAAAAACAAACATTGCTGAAGCATTGAATAGTATTTCAGCTAACACAATCATTTCTGATGTTTGTGATAAATTATTTCACAATGGTTTATTATTTCTACTTTTCTAGAATTTTTTTAATTTGAGACCTCTTGATCCTAGATGACTTAAACGTTATTTGATTCATACGCAAATTAATATTTAAAGGTTAACACTATGTACATTTATGACAACTTCAGTAGGGGTAGTACCCTCCATTGAAATATATTATTTATACTTTCTATTCTTACGACCTCCTGCGACTTAACACACACTAGTTTTGAATTATACGTATAAATATATACAAATATAGAGAGCTCGAGCTCTAGTTTATACAACCTACAGCATTTTATTGTTTGCTGTTCATGCAGTTGCACTTGTATCACGAAGCAGATTGCACGTTTGCGACACCAGCTTCAAGAATTTTGATTTCACTTTTCCAAATACCATGATGACTGATACTAAAAATTAGCGACTAAACGACGGCTTTGGAATCATTCATTTTTATAAGTGGCATCCACCAGTAAGTACCAGGAAACAGCGCTATTGACCGCATTAGTTTCAAAGTTATCGCTTAACGACGAAAACTAACCTTGGCGTGACAACTGCACCATAATTACAAAAAAAAATTCGCATTATTGTGCTAAATATTATAATAATAAATCTTATAGTGCTGAAGTGGCTTCTTCGGATGATGCCACTACTCGTCTCATTTTTTTTTTAAGAGTGGGTAGTATTATTGACACACAACCGAGCACCACTACCAAACCTTATCTGGGCCGAGTGTGGGGCTCGGCAAGGCTCAGAAGACTTAATTCTGCCAAGAGCACTACCCACCATTAATTTGCTATTCCTCTATTATATTTTATTCCGAACCAACCTTTAAAATTATTACGAAATGATTCGCCAGCTTAGCGAGTGAAGTAAGTACGTAGCAGAGAGGGTTGGAACCTTTTCGCCTTGTTTGCAAACCCGAAATACATGACTGCGCGCTTTGACACTCCCAAGACCAATGTCAACGTCTGTTTTATCGTTGTCATTCGGAGCTGCTCTTTGCAGTTTGTCGATACCATTTTTGTTTGTGGCTCACATATGAATTTGTGTTATCATTTGTTGGCAGCGATTACAAATACCCAGGAATCCTAAGAACTCTCGATCATCACTCACAGCGAGTCCGTATCTCTTCCCTATTCTTTAAACGCTTTTAGGTGTAGCAAATTTTAGTAGCTATTTTGTGACCGTCTGGAAGGAAGGCTCAGGTTCTTTTAGAACTTGAAGACTAATAAATGCACCGCGAAGCTTTCTGTGGATGTTTTTATTAGGCTTGTGCCTTGAAAGTGGACGTTGAAAAGTTTAGCCCGATGTGGAATTGATCTCCCAGAAATGAAGAGCCTCGAACATTCCGACCAATGACGGTGCGCTTTTCAGCCACCACTGTTCTTAGCAGTGCTTTAATTATGATATAACCCACTTACATGACATATAATTGTTTTCCATAAAACCGCGTTCCAAGTCAGAGAAGGGATCTTGAATCCGGTAAACATACCATTGTGCACAATAGTAATAAGGTCAGGCCGCTTTTAGTAGAAGCAAATATCACTTTTCTATTTAAAAACTCGCAAACGACATCCGATAATGTGAATTCTTTCTAACTTGCGGAATTTAGATCTTATTATAGCACATAAGAGGCTAGTTACCCAACCAGATCCTTTTTATGAATCAATCTGAATGTCGTCCATAGAGCCAAGCCATTAAATTTGCGTGCTTGTTTATCTCTTGTTTGTGTCTTGGCTGGTTATGTCTCGGGTCTGTCCATGGTACCATCACATAGACAAGCTTCCGTTAAGCATAGGCTTGGTTCAAGTTCAAACCTAAAACCGGAGAGTGCATAGAAGTAATCGTCAATCAGTCAAGTGCCTATAATGTTGGAAGGAAGTGCCCAAGTCACACATCGGCACGCTCGAGTGAAATGGTATTTATCCGAAGTTTATCAACGTCAGAATTACAGAGCAAAGTTTAATGCGCTGCATTACTAGCGATTTCGTCCTATCCTTATCGTCCAGTAGATAAGCCGACTGCAGCTGGTTCTGAAGTGACAATGCTCTCTATAATAAACGTTACCTCGTAAGTATTTTTAGTGGCGTTGGAAAAGACATACTCAGAGGCGAAATTCGTAGCAAAGCAAATACTTGTATTGTCTAGATTTATCGACAGGTTTGCTTTTGCTCATAATAGTGTGGCATATAATGTATGCGCCCCATTCGGATACAATGGCATTTAATCAAACATCACTCGTGCCGGAGCCTGAGGTTCAACAGAAGCGTATTTTGAAAAAAAAACCTGCATGCAGCTTAATTCTATTATTTTTGTGTGGCAACTTCTTATTTCAGAGCTGAGTTGCTTCCTCTAATTTACTTTAAACTACCTAATCCCTTGATACCTTTTTTGAGCTATGGCGGATACCACCTAGATTACACCGTAGACTTTTCTGTGCTCAGATTCGGGTTCTTTGACTAACCCAACGGGCTTTCCAGAGCGCGCCGTATTCTATCGTCGTATAATAGAAACAGGCGTCGTCTATAGCACCTATAACATTCTATTGTTATACAGTATTATTATAGATTAATGAAACTAGACTTTTAAGAAAATTGTAGTTTTTATTACTTTATTTTAGCTCAGACATTTGTTTATCTGTACATGGTAACAAGAGGCCTATCTTCCGTTTCATTCAGATCGCCAGGCTCCTTTAGTGCGACACCCTCTTTCGAGAACCCATCCAGTAACGACTGAACCTAAAAATTAACGTTAAAATTATTGAAATAGCTCAAGAGAGGGTAATCGCTTGCTTAGCTTCTTTACTTTCACCACTATACTTCTTTATTGCAAGATTTAGGCAGGCCCTGGAAAGCAAAGGTGTATACAAAACTCCATAGAGAACATATAAAATTATATGAGTCACTTATCTATTGCAAACTTTGCACAATTTAACCTTTATTCAGTTTATGATTTCTAGCTTTTTTTAGCTACAGCGTATATAGGTAAAGCCCTTTATTTGTTCTTGCTATGTGTAAGATGCCAACAGCGTCACTTTCTTATATGATAGACTGCTTCCACATATTCATAAACAAAAACTATCTAGTTGAGGTTACTTATGTTTCTGAGCATTCTTAAAATCGTTTTTTTGTGTAGTTCTTGTATAAAAAATTAAGTTACAACAGTACCCACATGTTCACACCGAGCTCAAAGAATTTAGAAACAAAATAGTTGGAAATTTCATTCCTGAAGCTACTAAATGTCAGTGGTCAAACTTTAGCAAAATTAAATATCTTGCTGTCTACCGCCGGCTTGTAGCTTTGAAACGCTACGCACTCAGCCTTTTTTCCTTTTGCGTCTTCTAATTGTAACGGAAGTTTTCAACTCCAGACGCACTTCACAAGTCGTTAAGGATCAACAGGCATCGCGGAGTCAGCACGGCCGCTTGTAGCTATTCGACATATCGAAACTGTCTTCCTTAAGGTCATCTAAAGCGCAACGCGACACATAGAACGGAACAATCTAAAAATCGACTTCAAGGTCGTGCTGTCCCTTCCTTGGCAGTACGTCTCCAAACTTGAAATGTTTGCTAGAGGAGTGGAATTGATTTAAGTATTTTGTGAAGCGGCAGACGCCGTCGAACATCGTAAGCCACATTATAAGCAGCGCAATTTGTTTACGCATGTAAAATTGCTATTACTACTAAATTCGATATCGAAAGCCGGTGAAACTTCCCGAAGTTGTAACAGGAGACGAAGTTGACATGTATAACGGGGGATCTGCTATAATAGCCTCCAACACGTTTCGCATATTAAAGTCACAAGAATGCATGACCGACTAAAATCACAAGAGATAAGCAGTGTCACTGGGATAATATAAAGTGAAACCTACGCCCCTATTTGTCAAGAGTAGAACGGGGAGATAACGTTTCGGAACGCGAAACTAGAAATATTTCCGTTTTTCTTTAGCTCAGTAATTACATTTAGCATAATCCCGATTGCTAACAGATGGATTATGTACCATGCGGAATGCGCGTAAAAATCATTCTCTTCAAACATTCATAGACAAATCCTTCTCAGAGGCTCTATGTTGTAGCCTTGACTATTCTTTCTTTATTCAATTATAGTTGCTCTGCGCATGGCACAATAAATAACCTATTTTTGCCGCTATTTCCTGTCTCCTGCTCCTACTGATGTATACTAATATTCAGAACAGCCGTTGTAATTGAAGTTGAACTAAACGTAGTACAGGACATCCACTTGTCTGCTAAAAAACGGGAGAAGGATTGTTGTCGTAACGGTAACCATTGCTGCACACAAACGGAAATAAAGAATGCTCGTCGATCTTGTTGGTTTACTAGTGCTGCGAAGGCAGTTGCCGCTGACGACTGACTGATAATATTGAGCACAACTTTTTTCTATAAACCGTCGATAAGAAATAGAAAAAAGAAATAGGTGCGAATAATTACATTAGGGTGTTTGAAGAATAGAACAGCCCTATGGTTTTAAAAATACCCCATATGAGCTGGAGGGCAAAATAGGTCAAGATATGCCAATACCCCGGAAAATCACGTAAGACTTCCACTAACACCATTTGGCTAAGAAACAGCAGGACAGTGTGTTGCATAGAAACAACGATAACAGAATACATAATATTCATCACACTTTTTAACCAAAAAGTGTGATACTAAATGTATGATGTGATTATATACTAAATAACCAATTAGTATAAATGCGTACGTTCTAAGCTTGAAAGCTTTATTTAAACGTGAAGGGTATTACCACACCTAAATTATCCCTACCTTCTTTGATGTCTTTTTCTCCTCAGGTATATCAACGTGGACAGCTAATACTCCCGCTTCAAGACAACGGCGGGCTAAAACGCGGCCGACTGCAAAAGCCGCACCTTTATCAGCCGTTGACACGAGTTGCTTTTTAATTCCCCATTCTGTAGTGGAAGCTTCTGTTACGCAGCTGCCACTATTATGCACCACTTTGCCTGTAAGATTGTGCTTATTTTTAAAATTAAATGGGTAATATTTGCCTATGCATAACGCGGTTCCTGTTGGATGTTTCAATTATTAAATGAAATTTCGAGCTATGCTATAATGCAAGCTACACTTGGCTTTAAATCTTCGAGCGAAGACAATCCAAAAAAATGCTACATTTGTATATGCCTACATTCCTTAAACTAACAAGTAGGAATTTTATTAATTAATAATTAGGAATTTTAGCAATACTTATTTTAAGATATTATGATTTACGAAATGAACTACTATTATGTTTTCCAGTCCGTCTTTTGTCGATGCGCTGTGTCAAGCAGTCCTGATATATACGTTTCGTAGTAAGTGTTCTTTATAAAACGCGGGAATATGCGTATTCCAATATACACAGTAAGTTGGTTGAGTTGGCACTGCCTAGCAATAATTAATTTGTAGTAAACCTCATCCTAAGGGTGACACTTATGCAACCAAAAAGTGGTGGGGACAAGGTAATTGACGAAATCCATTTTACAGGAATCGTACTATAATTGTAGCTGATTCGCTACCAGAGGAGTTACATTTTTGTATTATGCAGAGGTCTATACTGACCAAACACATTTCTTTTCGCTAATTGGATTTCAAGCCGATACCAGTAGGTTCTTGAGGGACGATCCCACTCCCAACCGACAGGTTTTCGAGCGAGAAGCATCTGCTCTAGGTTTCGCGGGTTGCGATTGACGAATCGAGGGTTCACCTCAAAGTCGTTCCTGGTCGGTGATCCGATCGAAGGTACCACTCCAATAGAAACGTTGCGCGACGCAGGAACTGCATACTTGCATTGAATGAAGGAACGTAATTTTAACATGTTGCACGTTATTTTTACTACTTAAAATGTTGATCGTATGCGCAAGTCTGGATACAGAGATTATCCGAACCGGCCATGTCTGCATTACTTTTATTTTCGTGTTCAGATTCCCGATAAGCAGACGACTCCGTAGAAAAAATCCGCACATCTCATTTTGACTAGGTTAACATTTTCTAAAAACTATAGAAAACCGATAAAGCTTAGTTATTCACAGCGACAAAAAACTCAATACAAAAATGCTGCTATACGTTGTGCTTTTACATTATCAGTCCAACACTTCTGTGAGTTAACAGAACCTACATATCATGAATATTCGTTGGTGTATCTAGTAAATTTACTGTGTTAATACAATTGGCGCACAACACTCTTCTTTACTCAACTTGTTTTCAACCTTTTGGCACTATCGGCTTCATTTTATATATAGTACATGTCGATAGGTGTGACCTAATATTTTGAACCTGCATCATACGACCCGGACCACAATGGGAATTTTAGGTTTATCGAAGTTAATTGCCGATGTTGCGCCAGGTGCCATTAAGGAGGGAGAGATAAAGAACTTCTTTGGTAAGCTTTTTCAGCGTTGCAAAAACGTTGCAACATAGCTACGAATTTTGTAAATATTGTGTTCATCTTTTCCTCTCCTATTACCTTCTTTAGTTATTGTTTGCTTTGTGTTTCATACAGATTATATCGATGGTTTAGGCCATTCATTAATCGCTATATAGTGGTATGTCAACGTATTGCACACAAGATGTTCTCTTTTTCCGTATCATAAACGTTAGGTGAAGTTAGCACATGTTTCCTCCAAACGAGTTGCATTACTGATAGCTTAGCTTATCGGTTTGAAAGAGAGCATTTTACTTAGCTCTATTTTCAATTATCTCTTTATAACATTTAGTTGAAGTTATAAACATCTCTGTAAAGAAATTGCAGCTCGCTAAATCCTTCGAACCTGATGTTCAGTACTAGATGTAGCTGATCATGTTACTGCACTTTCCATTAACTATTTTCTTGATAAGCATCAATATTTCCATAGCATTGAAAGTTCTATTTATGCCAGTGCCAAGCTTAGAAACATTTATTAAAAATATCCCCGTAACCGCGAGCTAGCTGAGTATAAACTTTTGATTATACTTTCAGGCCGCAAGATTGCTTTGGATGCATCGATGTGTCTTTACCAGTTCTTGATTGCCGTTCGTCAAGAAAATAACATGCTCACCAATGCTGATGGCGAAACAACTTCGCATCTCGTCGGATTCTTCTACAGAACTATACGCATGATCGAGAATGGTTAGCAATCTAGAAAAAGTAGATTGATGATGTCAGCGGGATTTAATTTTATTGGTCTGAATGCATTTGCTAAAATGTATAACATCAACTTGTATTTTTTTTCAGTGATCGACCCCTTTTTGATTGAAACCTTTGGGATCACATTCAGGATATAACCACTGCATGTACTTTTATACGGTCTAAACTTGTAGGTATTAAGCCGTTGTATGTGTTCGATGGCAAACCACCTGACCTGAAGATCGGAGAACTGGAAAAACGCGCTGAGAGACGTGAAGAAGCTCAGAAAGAGTTAGAAAAAGCTACTGAATTCGGAAATCAGGAGGATATTAATAAGTATCAGAGAAGGCTTGTAAAGGTCACAAAGCAGGTACTGTTATGTGATTTATATGTAAGACACTTATGATTTATGTTAAAATTTACCATTGTCTGCAAAACAAACAACAAGGCACTGCTTGCTGTTTGGTCCTCAGTTCTATTTTATGATATAACGGCATCATGAATATGTAGGACTAAAGTCATTGCCTTTAATATAAAGGTTTCCTAGTGCAGGCAAGTGGTTCGTGCTGTATCCCAAAGCGACCCCTCTAAGCTTTTACTGAGGTTACTTTCATTTATTCGAAGTTGACGTAATTTACGATATCTTTGTGGTGACTAACAATATGCGTTCACTTCCCATAATTGCTTGCGCTTGTGAAACTTTAAAAGTAGCTGGAGGACTTCTATTATCTCTCGTGTGTGGGACCCTGTGTGTTTCAGTAGCCTGATAAGTTCTGTGCATCCTATCGATTTCGCCATGAATATAAGTATATAAAACTTAGTTATTTACCGCCCTAGGATAAAGCAATAAAAAACATAAAAGAATATGAAAGCGTTCTATTGTGGTTATAATATTGGTGCGTCTGTCTTGGTTGCTGTGCAGCACAATGAAGATGCCAAACGTCTTCTTGATCTCATGGGTGTTCCTTTTCTTGAGGCGCCTTGTGAAGCCGAGGCTCAATGTGCCGAGCTGGTGAAAAGTGGGAAAGTATTTGCGGCCGCCACCGAGGATATGGATTGTCTTACTTTTGGGGCACCTATTGTACTTAGACATATGACATTCAGCGAGGCCAGGTGTGTGAACCAGAGAAACTTCTATTATCCCATTTTTATTCTATTACCCATTTTTCCTTAAACGTTCTAATTTGAAGAAAATTATCGTTTTCTCCGAAGACTGTTATGTGCATCATAAAAGAAAACTAAGGAAGTTCCACGTTTGCATGTTTCAGAAGATTTTAATGGTTGTCGATATAATTGGTGAAAAGTGGACATACTAAGGAGGTTATACCAGATACTTATGCTAATATAACCATAGTTGACTTTAGTTAGGGGAGATTGAATTTCTCTTCGTCTTGAAGTTCGCCAAGACTCTCCATTTAACCCAGTAAATTCAAAAGAACATTGATATATTAGGAAAAGGTTGATAGTAGGGCCTCTTGCTGGCCAAACGTAACTTCATAACGAGTTACTAAGACTTACTATTCAATAATTTTACAAGCGTTTCTAGCTGGAAATCGAACCCAGCAGGTTTACTAATATGTGTTATGTGAAGTTTGATACAAAAATAAAACTATATTGTGTTTGTGGTTGTAGGAAAATGCCAATTAAGGAGTTCACTCTTTCAAAGATACTAAGTGAGCTAGAATTCACTCAAAGGGAGTTTATTGATCTCTGCATTTTACTTGGATGTGATTACTGTGAAAGCATCAAAGGTATTGGACCTAAGAGAGCCATTGATCTCATGCGTCAGCATCGTTCAATTGAAAATATTCTTCAGAATCTTGATACTAAGGTGAGGAGCCAATTATTCGATTACATTTTCACATTTACTATTTTATATCATATCCGCTTTTGTTTTGATTTTAGTATACTATTTGTTAATGTCGGTAAAACAGAAAAGTAAACACATTGTTAGATACTAATTAAAGAAGCCAAACTTCTGGCAAATAAGGAATGTGTATATATTCAAATATGAGTTCTTATAATGACAAATAACTGATTCCCAACGTTTTATTTTAGAAATATACCGTACCCGAAAATTGGCAGTTTGAAAGGGCTAGAGAACTCTTTGAAAAACCCGAAGTTACCCCAGGCCAAGAGCTGGAGTTTAGGTGGATGGAGCCTAACGAAGATGGACTGGTAAAATTCCTGTGTGAAGAAAACGGTTTTAACGAAGAAAGAATTCGGCAAGTACTTCTACGTGATATAATAACTCCTTAATCGTTCTGGGTTTAAAATGTCTTTTCATGGCTTCTTGTGTGTGCGTCAAATGCATACCCACCTATCCATAATAGAATATTGGTAATAGGGTATCAAACCGAATAATCAAAATAAGATGTCATAAGCTGAGGGCCAGTCATTATGTTTCTCACAAACACAACAAGTACAGCCTCCTTATATATGGCACTCTTATATTAGCTTATCGCAAAAGTATTAACTATTTAGACGGGTGGCTTTAAAATCGCATCTCTCAAATAATATGAGTCGTTTTGATAGGTCGTTGATGTGACTTGTTGACGTGTTGATATCGTCAAAATGCCTTTATTCAGATTTGAGGTAGAGCAAAAAGATTGAAAATGAATGAAATTTCAGCAAACATTTGCGGCATTTTGCAATTTTGTTACGTTAAAGGCGCAAATACTGTTCGGGCTCATAAAAAATGTGCTACATAGTCAAGATATATTATCAGAAAAATATGATTCTGTTGCTTTCGTTCTAGATATTTCGATGTGGACAGCTATCTTTGTAGAAGTCGACTAATTACGAAAAAAGTTGAAAATAGTATTGCCGAAATTGAGCAAAATCGACAGTTGAGTAGCCGTAACATCGCCAAGGCACTAAACATCTAGCACTTAGTTTTAATTGAAGTTAGCTGGATATAGAGAAAAGCTAAATGGTTGCCAATTGAATCGACGCAAAAGAATTTACTTGATCGAATTTCTATCTATGCAACTTCACAGTGACACAACTAAATCAAACCATCTGTGAAGCGGTTGGTATCAGGCGATAAAAAGTAGATTTCATACGATACTAATGTGCAAAGAAAAAGCGCGACAATTTTTAACAAAGGCGGCGCTCACGTCAAAGGAGGTGATGCTATATGTTTCGTGGGATTAAAGAAAAATCAGACATTATGAGTTTCTACCAAACAGTGCATTCGGATCTCTACTGTCTACGACTAACGCGTCACCGGAAAAAACTGACAGGAATAGAAAACTGGGGCCGTCATCTTCCATGACAATACCAGACCACATAGTCTTCTAGCTACATAACGAACCTGGATAAAAAAATTTAATGCATATGCCAAATAGGCCGAGTCCTTTGTTTCGGTCTCTGCAGAACCGCGTTAATGGTGCTAATTTCAATGGAAAGACGCAATTTTTGGCCAGAAACCATAAAAGTTCTACAATAATGAGATTACGGTGTTATCAAAAAAAATGGCAGAAAGCCGTTGGTTAAAATGGCGCGTATATAGTTTAGTAATATTATGTTAAAATATAAAAAAAAAGTTTTAAACTCAGATTATTAACAGTGATTATCTCAAATTTGTTAGGATACATGCGAACTGATCTAGTCGATGTAATTATTCTTTCATTTACAGAATTAGATTCTTTTACAATAAATTTCAATTATCTATTCCACTGATTAAAAAATAATAGCATGTTTTACTTTGAAAGTAAAGCTGCATTTTTTGTTAAGTAAAACATGCTATTATTTTTTAATCAGTATAATAGATAATTGAAATTTATGAATTGAGATTTTGAAATTGATCATTTTAAGAAGAAATAATCTGTTATGTGTTTCCTGTAGCTTTCTAGGTCATTTTCTTAATTCATACATTTGGTTTCGCCAAATATATTCAGATCGGCTATACACTTTTTCAGCCATTTTTTGAGACCTGTTCCGTTGTCACATGTACAATTGCAACTTCTGTTTGTCAGTAGTCGAGGAAGGCGGTAACCCGTTGGCATTAGATCTAGAGAATATGGTTGGTGCAAAAAAACCTCTTACTCAAACTTATGTGGGCTGGTTTCAACGATTTTTGTCATGTGTGGTCTAGCGTTGTCGTATAGAGATCACTTCGCCTTATTTATATATTTTTTTGTAAGGCTTTGATTGCTTGACGCATTGAATCGTCTTGTTTCTTTCAATACTTTCCCAGTGTATAAGGCCCTTCCAATGGCATTAAACGGTAATTTTTTTGGGAAGGAGATTGGCTTAGCTTCAGACTTAAGCATATCCCCCGGAGCCAGTTAATATACTCTATTTTATATTATAAGAGATACTTTTGATCACTCATAATAATTCTGTATATAGATCTGTCATTCCGTACGGGGCAAGATGCTGAAAGAAAATAAGAAACCATGTTTTCTTGTGCCTTTCACTCAGGGGCAGTCAGGAGACATCCAGGACCATGCTTTTTGATAAAATTCCATAGGTCCAAGATGCCTGGCAATGGCTAAACTATTTATATTTTCAACCAATTAACAAGTTGTTTAACGACTAACAAGCAAAATCTTCATTGACCTAGGATAGCCGACTGGACCATAGTGCGTCCTTTAAAGACTAGATGCCGTTATTGAGTTTTGTAAACCATCTATGAGCAGTTCTCTCAAGCATGGAGTGGACACCGCATATGGCATAAATATCCCTGGCTGTTTTGGTCGCTTCCTAATCTTGGCAAAAGGCGAAATTAAATAAGTGCCAAAAGCGCATTTTTTTTTTACCTGGAAAATAAGTTCGTCGACCTGAGGTGAAATGAGATTCGCTATACAATGGGTTTGGAAAAACGTGTTCAAGTGGAATATTGAAATAAGTTAACAGTCGAGAGTTAAAAGGAAAAACAAACATTTAAAAATCGCCATTACTTTTTAACAGATCCAATATACACGACCTTGTCATAACAACCATAACAACTTGACATTATACGGAGGAGTGAACCCAGCACGAAATCTGCTGTGTTCAAAAAATTGCGTTAATCAAAATTGAAGAAGATTTACTTTTATATTGACGTACTAAAAACTTTAAAAGCTACAGTAAGGGTGAATTTTAAGTGCTATCGACGGCGATAGAGTTATATGTATGACTGTTTCGTGCAAAAACATCAGCCAATAAAATGAAAGAAGAAGCAGTTCCACTCATTTGTTTAATAAGTTTCGTTTTAAGGTAAATATTGAGGGTCAAGTGACAATGTCTGTCAACAAGTGTTTTATATACAGACGCTAACAGGAAGAAATTCTTCAGGAGAAGACCGCAGGAAGGAAAGCTTTTTGTTACTGTGAATTAGTAACTCATCAGTTATCCTTCATTCTTTCTTAGCATGGCGGGTTATTAATGTTTTACGCTACCCGAATGCCTCAGATAGCTTAAAGGAACTGAATTTAGATGTATGAATATAAGTGCTGTTCACGGCATCTTAGTGTCAGCTACCAGGAGAACAAACCAGAACAGGTCAGACTTCCCGCCTCACTGGGCGCACTGAGAATCCGTGAAATGAAGACTGCCATGTTTTCTGCTGTCATTTCACGTTGTAAAGCTTTGTGAAAACAACAAATTCCTTTGTCTCTCCCGTTACACACTACACTCAAGCAAAGAAAGAAGGTGATTCAAAACTATGTTAGAATTAGCCGAAAAGCTTAGAACGTATTAAACTAAGATATACGGTTGCGCGGGCTACAAAGTGTTGCGCCATAAAAATTGAAAGATTTATAGAGACAACTTAATGGTGGCTATGCATAGAGCGCTTACAAATTGCGAAACTAGTAAACTAGCAGAATCATTCTTATGTCAGATCGAAACACGCAGTACTCCCGTATAACAGTACTATTCTAATTGATATTATTATATTAATACTATTATATGTATATATATATATGTTCTTATAGTCCATATATGCCACAAGGTTTCTACGGGCTCTCACCCACCAGAGGAAGCAGCAAAATAACCGACAGCTGATCTGAGTTAAACTGTCGCGGAGGCGCGAAAATGATTCAAACAGGACCTGCAGTTCTTTCTAGACTAGACAGCTATTATGTCGGCAGCACGTATACTTTACCTCGAAATCAGTGTTAGAGAATTTCTGAAATGTTCCCGTTGATTCATCCCAAGTGCAGCTTGAGATCCCAATGGTAAACCCATATAAATTGTAGATATAAAGGTGCTCGCATGCGATTTAAAAAACTCTAATATCGCAAAATGCTGGGCATTCCTTTTCGCTTCTTGTTGTTGCTGATTCTATGTACGTCTTTTGCGATTAACGCAATATTTATGTTGAAAGCATCAATTTCGTGTCCACGCGAAGGTGTCGTCGATGTTTTAAACGGTACATTATAATGTAAAACCTAGATTCGAGAACTTATGTACATAATAGCGAAGCTTAGGCCGATAAGAAGAAGCCAAAAATGTAGTCAGATTATTCTTTTTTTTTTTTTTTTTTTTTTTTAGGAATGGAGCGAAGAAATTACATAAGGGCAAAAATAGCTCACAGCAAGGTCGACTGGATTCGTTCTTTAAAGTTTTACCATCTACGCCTGCCCCTAAACGGAAATTTGACATCAAAAAAGAGGCCGTGTCTTCGTCGAAAAGGAAAAAAACGGGAAATGCACCGTACAAGAAAGCCAAGTAGACTGCATCGCTTGAAAATTAATCTTGCAGGTAGTTTTGCTTCGGTACCTTATTGGTATAAAATGTAATGAAATTTGAAAATCCATGAAATCACTTTAAAGCTTAAGTGCATGCAAAATATCTTTTCAATCAAGACTGCTTAAGCCGTTACTCGTTAAAAGAATCACCGTTGAATGTAAACGCAGGTGGCTTTAATTTCGTAGATTTATAGACACTTATGGAAGAAAAACATTGGCACAATGCTTCAAGTGAGGTGCTCATTTAGCTTGGTTGGAAGTCGAAATCATAAAATGTAATTGAAGGCCTTCATGTCTGTCCTCTTTATACCGGTTTGGATTAAATTTAATAATAGATAGCGTGAAACACCTCTCATGAATTACTGATGCTTATCTCATTTAAATTTAGTAAAATTGGTTGACTTGTCGGTTTGTGCATGTAATAATAATAATAAGTTGGCGAAAAGGACGAATTGTGAAAAACAAAAATACGCGCGACAATATTGCTCAAATCTGCTTTTTTAGGAAGTTTTATTTTTACTGAATTTATTCATGTAACGATTTAGTATAATGCTTCTTTATAATATTTATATCATAAATAAATAAAAGTACAAGCTTTACATGTTTTTTCGCAATACTTGAATACCTACTTTTCAAATTATTCAATATGCAGAAACGGTTCCAGAATCAAATCGCTGATGAGGCTGTAAGAATAAAGCTTATTAGTAATCTATATATTTAAACAGCGTGTATCGCACTTATTAAGATAGTCGTGATAATTATACGTTATCATATTTAGCTCGTCTAACGCTGTTTCGCGGATATAAATATTTTAATTTAATACTCACTATTAGCAGAAGCAAATCGGTAAAGATTTACACCAAATCTGGCTATCTACATTGGTATCTCAAATTTGTGTTATCAGAAGATAATGAAATCAGAGGCGAAGCTATAGTTTAGTGCTTTAAATCGAGATTACATTTATAGTCATCTATTTTATGAAATATATGGAAAACTGGTAAAACACTGGGCAAAGAAGCGTTGGGCAAAACAATAAATTTACACTGTTAGAATCACCAAAGGAATAGAAATTAGGAGGTTAAGGACTACAAAAGAGTTGACTGCAGCTCAGGAAGGGCGAGCTGGTTTATTTATCGAAACCTTTTCGAGCGAAATGAAGCATGGATAATGTGCTCCCCGTCGTTTCAATGCAAGATTCTTTGGAGCACATGTTCTGTAAAATGCTATGCATATATTTTGTTTTTTTATTAATTTAGTATTATTAATTATACTCGATACATATAAAATTTAACAACGTAAAATACGGTCATCGGCACAGAAGCTTAATACCAAATTAAAATCATTATGTCCCGTCCTATATTTTTACAAGGAGGACGATACATGGAGAGATATTGTTGATAGACAACGTTTTGCATAACACAGGGTGCGAGGTTCTCATCATCATCATCATCGGCAGCGTTGAAGGCAAGTTGAACGCCTAAAAGGAAATGTAATGAGGTCTATGAACCTAGTACCGAATCACAGCGAGTTGGCTGCTTTGCTCACTGTTCCATCAGGCGGTGTTGGTCATTTCCGACTCATACTCGCGGATGAAATGACGGTAAACTTCTGTTTTTTAAAGTCAGGTTTTCGCTCTTGCTCCTCGATGAATATCGGCGTGTTAAAGAGTAAGTAAACTATCCTGTTTCTTGGTTAAGAATACAAGCTTAGAATACATACTTCAAGACGTTTGGCTAAGCTACCGTACAATAAATAAAAGATCACTTTTAGATCGAAGATCGCCAGCGCTGTTTTACCCGAAAGCTTCCTTTGATCACTAATTGATGTGGCTGTTACCAGTGTCATCTGTGTTTTTTGCGAAAACGTTCGCTGCGTGTCAGGCCGTCGGCTTAATTTTATTTCGGGGCTTTGGGATCAGCACTAGTTTGCTTCCTTCCATGCGTCCGGAAAAATTACTTGTCACAGGATATCATTTGCTAACTTCTGAAAGATTTTTGGCCATCTTTTGATTAGCATACGGACCACCTCTGGCGGCACGCCGTCCGGTCCAGATGCTTTGCCCGTCGTTAGCTTTCCTCATGCTTCTGCCGCTTCTTCAAGTATCACTTCACAGATGCCTCGCTCATCAACCTCGAACGCTGTGTCACCATTCCAGGGCTGCGTTGAGAAGAGACTCTTTATTCCGCATTCACCAGTACGTCAGAAGGGAGCGGTGGCGATTTAATCTTCATTCTGCTCATAACTGTTTAGTACGGAGGTCCGAAAGCGTCTCAGTCGACCGCCTCAATAAGTTTCCGCCAGGATCTTTTCTTGCTTCGTCCTATGCATCGTTTTAGCTTATTTCGGGCGTCCTGGTACTACCGGAGCTGTTGTAATGCTTTCTGTTCTGTTTCTGGTTGTGGGTCGTTTATGAGCCTTTGCTAGCTTCTTGGTCATGTGTAGATGCGTCTTTTCCTCAAACGTGTTTTCCGCGACTCGGCGCCACGGTCTTCCGCAAGTTGATATCGAGCTCGAGGTCAATGACATACCTTGCTGAAGATGATGTCGACTAGCGGCATAAAGAACAAAGTCGTTTTCTGTATAGGACAAGACTTACTGACGAACAGCGCTCTCGTTGAGTGGATTACCACAGAGACTAAAGGTAAACCTAGGTTATCATTCTAAGTAAGGGCTCTGATACGCTTGGAGGGATTAAACTTTGATACAACGTCATCGATGGTTATTTTGCTCATCTGAAGTATGTTCTTGAGCAGCCCACTATGTTCTGAAGCACTTTCGTCCGAACTATTTTGAAAACGCAGCTTTTTTCTGTGTCATGTGGATTTTATATTGGAAATCAACAACTGCTACACATATTTATATATATACGTAAAAGTTGCTGATATGTATGTGCAATATATGCTGGGATTTGTAATTATAGACCCTACTCAGACAGAGCGTGTCAATTTGGGTTGATTACTGCTGATCGGCAGAGTTATCCAGAAAAAACTCACTCGAGGGGCCCCCACGAATTCTACGCGTGAATATTAGATGCCTTATGTAACATTCGCAGGGGACACATGCACTTATATGGCTATATAGCTATGTAAGGTGGCGTAAGAGAGCAACAACAGTTAAAATCAACTGACGACTAAATAGTGCTGACAAAAAGCCTGAAGTCAGTAACTTGGACGTCACTTTATCTGTGACTCTTTTACTATAGACATTCCTCCTTATTCAGCTTAGTTTTCCCTACCTGATAAAATAGTTTACACTTACCAACTCTAGTTGCAACTGTGTTTCGGCACCGGCTGTTCAGAGTACGCTGGACGTATATCAGGAGGATCTTCGAGGAGGTAGATGAAATGCTCGTACCAGAATGCCGTTTAGTTCCTCAAAGATAACGCCCGCCCGCAAGTTTTGCAAGGATCCAAATTAATAATTTACAACAACATCTCTTCCTTGTAATACCCCACCAGCTCGAAGGCTCTTTGAAATCATCTTTCCTTTTCGGTAGCAGAGACGTTAGTACATATACAAACTCTTTTTCGTTTAAAAGTACCGGATTATTACAGTCACAAGAACATTTTACATAATAGTAATTAATAGTAATAAAAATGACTTTAGCTTCTCAGCATTTATAAATATTAGTTGAATAGCTTTCTGTCTAAAGAACACGTTTCGCTAATGAAGGTACCTAAGGTTGCCCCTAGCCTTGTAAGTTGACAGTGTCGTCGTCCAACGTGTCCATCTTTATGTAAGTATTACTAGCAAAACAGGTTACGTTGGCACAACAGTTTTAGCACGTGAACGCACTGGCCTTATGAGAGAAAGGATAATGCGGCTGAGTGGGGACGATAAGACCAACAAGGGCAGGGGCGAGTGTGAGCTACTCTTAACTTAGACGACGCAGCTTCGTAAACAACATCGAACGTCGATATCGAAAAAATCGCCTAATTGCTTCTCTCAGCTAGTTTATGCATGTAAAGACATCCTAAAAAAGAAAGGCATAATGCAATGATAGACAAAACTAACCTGCGTAATGGAAAATCGAGTTTGGTTACGTGATCGAAAAAAACACCGCTAGAAAATTCACATTCGAAACGAACGTTTATTACGCCATTTTACAACCACCTATTCTGCTATAACGCTATAATGAGCATAAGAGAACATGTGCATACAACATTTTTTCTTGACTTTACAAGAAGTTCATTCAGGATTGCATTAATGTCCTAGATAAGGCGCCAATATAATTATACAATTATTATGATGAGTGAAATAATGAAATATTTTTATTGTTCTAATATCAATAATGATTGCGATTCGCTACTTCTGTCCAAGCCATTGCATATTCCTTTGTGTATTTTTTTTTACTAGATGCAGAGCTTTCGCTAGTAATGGTGATATCGAGAGCTCTTGAGACGGTATAATGCAAGCACCGCAAAAGAGAAAAATTGTCTTCTGGTTGCTTTCTCCGTAAAGCTGTCTATATTAATATTTGCGGCTTCCCCATCAATTTATGGCAATTGGAATTCAAAGTACATATTTGGGATTCTTATTTTTCTATGCAAGCTATCCCAATGTTATAGCTTTTTATTATTTTTTCGTTTCCGATTTCTTGGTCTGTAGAGCAAAAAATGACCTAGTTAGTTATCAGTTGAGACACCGTACTTTGTGCTGACATTCGAATTTCGCAATATTCAAATTTCTGAATTAATATTTAAGTGCGTTTTATCGCAACAAAGCTTACATTATCTGACACCAGTATTGCTGCTCTAGAAATGTATATGTACTGTGATACGGTCACATATAATAATAAATATAATATATAAATAAGTAAAACATAATCATGCTACAGTTCACCCAACAAAAGCCTATGCCTCTAGGTAATTATATGTAGATATGGGAATTATAGATGCAATTACTATTGTGACATTAATTCCAATTACATTGAATTTTTGTAGGTTTACATTTAGTGGACTCTTGTTTTTTAGTTGTTTGCAACTGAATCATTTTAAGCAATGAGCAAGTGAACTGCGTACACTTAGCGCAATTTAAAGTTGGGCTTTGAATGTTTTTTTGCCTCAGAACCAAATTGCAAGAAAACTGGACTATTGCTGCCCAGGCCAGGAGACACCCTAATGTCAAGCACTTCTCTTGTCTCTATTTTATTGTCTATTCGAAGCGCTGGGAGGATGATATAGGTGTCGTACGGTACTTGACTTGCTTTAGCTGCTACTTACCACTACCGAATTGAGTAATCCAAGAAATACCTATGAATCTGAAA